CCCCGGCACCGCCCCAGCACCGCCCTGCTCCTGCCCCACCCCAGCACCCTCCTGTCCGTGCTCTGGCACCGCCCTGCCCCTGCCTCGGCACAGCCCCACACCTCCTCAGCACCGCCCCAGCACCCCCCTGTCCCTGTCCCGGCACCGCCCCAGCACCGCCCCTGCTCCGCCCCAGCACCCCCGGCACCGCCCCAGCACCTCCCAAGGGCTGGGCTGTGCCCGGGAAACACCCAGGCAGGGTGCGCGGCTCCCCTCCGGAGCTGTCCCTGTGCCTGCGCAGGTGACGGTCCGAGCGGCACAGCCCGTGGTGCGGGGCAGGCGGTGCCGATGAATGACCCCGTGCGGATCCGTCCGGGATCCCTTCCCATCCATCCGCATCCCTGCTGCAGGGGCGGATCTTGCACCGCGGTGTCCCTGTGCGGGGCTGTTCCCCTGCACGCGTTTTGCAGTGACTCACACACACACAGAGGTGCCGCTGCCAGCCAGGAAGTGCAGCTGACTTGCCTCGCTGGCTTTTTATTTTCAGCTCTGAGCTGTGGTTTGTTTCCGCAGGCACAGGCCAAGGCTCAGGGCTACGGTTTTTCATCCTTGCTGTTGGCAGACAGCTTCACAGCTGTTAACATCCTCGCGGGGGTCTTACACGGGTACCTCTGTATGTGTGACTGTGCACTGCATCACAAACTGCGTATGTGTATCGAGAGAAGTGTACCTCAGCAGTCTGAAATTATTTATATTTTAACTGCTAACTGGGTAATCTACAAAACAAAGTGCTCTTTAACACTCTAGATAATGTGGTGAGTCAAGATGCTGATAGAGGTCAGCGTTACTAATGAAATACATTGACACAGCACATTTTGTTACTTATTCTTTGTGCCAACAATTAGCTAAATTCTGTCCTCATAGTTTCAAATTATAAATTTATGACATTAAACTGTTCTGTGACAGAGAGTTAAATTGTCCCATAGGGAGCTGTGCAGGAGTAGGGCAACCTAATATCAGTGGGCCAGCATAGCCAACCAGGCCAGCCTGGCTCTGTATTTTTGGGTGGCTTCATGATTATTCCTTTTCAGGTCTGCATAAATATTTTTGATCATCCACAATAACCTTCTAGCAAGAGCACAGGTTTGAGTGCTCTGTCAAACTGGACCAAAGGCTTTCTGTTCCTGGTAGCTGCAACTCTGAATTAAGCAGGCCACTGAATCCTGTCATATGGATCAGCCAGGACAGAAAAGGTGCTAAAGAGGAAATGAGACATCACTGTGTGTATGCTCTCATGCTAATTATGTTTTCAGAGTCTGAGCAAAGCACTTCAGGAAATTTAGATTATTTAGGAAGAAACATTGCGAGAGCTGTCAGTCTTTAATATTTACGATTCCTTGTGTTACCTCATTTTAGTGAAAAAATAAAGGTACTACTTCCATGAAGATAATTATAAATCAGGTATTCCATTATCCTCGCTATGGATCATTGCAAGCTTGTTTTTTATTAACTGTGATTGTTGCTGCTTGTCATCATCAGCCTTTAACTGCTTCTAAAACCAAGAATTTCTCAAACAAAACCCACAAATTGTCACATTATGTTGTTAGGTTTCCATGAACATGGCAAAGACCCCCTGCACTGGCCCTGGTCACAGTTCCCTTTTCAGGCAACTCATTCTCTTCAAGAGGGGAAGTTAAATTTCAACCCTAACGAGTGGGTTGAGGTGCAGGTGCAGGGCTGTTGGCAATTTCCACAGTGGATGATGGAATTCAGGTGTGAGACTGGACTGTACTTCAAAGCAGCTGCTGGACACTTGGAGTGCAAAGCAAATTAATTTTCTGATCTTCTACAGACAGTGACCTCATCAGAAATGGAAAAAACACAAGGAGGAGTCCTAAAATCTGTTACCCACTCTCTGAAGGAGCAGAGGGCAGGGGTTCCAAGCGAATTCTGGACCTGTGGGATGGCTCAGTGAGTTTACAGATGGCTGCAGTTCTCTGCAGTGCCAAATGCTCATTCCAAGTAACTTCCAGTGGGGATATAGAACAATTGCCAAAATTGCTCATGAAAACCGAGATGACTTGAGTTATGGCTTGGTTGGTACATTGTTTATACTGTGTTCCAAGATAAATTTTCCGGCAAATTTCCACATTTTCTCCTCGTATTTGTAATGCAGGCGTTTTATTTGGCATGTTCCTGCTCCTTCTGAGCAGGGCCGTCTCTGGTTGGATTTTGGTTAACAGAATGTTTGAGCATCTGTAACTCTGGATGGCTTTATGGGCTGCTGATTTTACAGCTGAGCCAGCTGGAAGGGATTGAGCTCTTTCACACACCAGAAGTACTGACATATTGTAATTCCCTTTAAAAGAGAGATCTCAGTTGAGTAGTTGCATGATTGCTTTTGATAATGAATTTATGCAAAATAACTACTTATTTGTTGTATGGATGTTGTTTTTCTTTCCCTTAAGTATTAAAACTGTGTTCCCATACTCAGCATTAGCTGTGATTTAGAATCACAGAATATGCTGAGCTGGGAGGGGCCCATCAGGGTCATCGAGTCCAACTCCTGGCCCGGCACAGGACACCCCAAGAGCCACACCATAAATTCCTGGCTGTGCATGTGAAATCATACTCTGTGACTCTTGAGTTTATGAGACCAAACTGTGGCCTGCAGTATTATGGGGTGTGTTCTTTTACATGACTGGGTTGCTCTGAAGTGCAACCAGAAGAATTTTGTAATAGTACACTGGTCAGTAATTCAGTCCAAAATGAATGTCATGCTGATTTAAGGATATTTGTGTCTAGAACTTTCTCTTTAAAGTTCGGCAATGTCTGATGTTTGCCAGTTAAAATGTTAATAGTTTTATTTTTAATTTGTTAGTGTTCTGAGGCCCTTTTGAGGGCAGTTATCTGAGTGTTTAATGTTTACGGGAGAGACATTTTGTCCTCTCTGTGGATGGGGAATGGAACTCATTCACAGAGGGTCAATGGAAATGGGTGTTTTGAAGCCTGTCACTGGTCAGCAGATATTCCTCTCTTTCCCATGTCTGTGTGTGAGTACAGGAATTGGGAGCAGCATATGGACAGAGATGCTCTTTAATGTAATGCTGACAATCATGATTGATTGGGAAGCCCCCCATTGTTACAATGGGTTTTTCCTGGAGAGCCTTATGGGCTCTCTTCTCCACACCCACCAGAGAAAATCTGGTAAGAACATGCCATTTAAATTTTTTTTCCTATGTGTAGAATTTTTGGTTTTAATTTTTAGTATTTTTAGTATACCTAATATACTAATTATAAATACTAATTATAATAATTATTGTTATAATTGAATTTTTAGTATTTTTGTTTTCATTTCATAGCATATTCAGCATAATTTTTGATCCACTGAACATTTAGTAGAAGAGCAAAGAGCAATTCTGTGTCACTCGTACCCCATGGATGGCTGTAAGTTGTTTGGAATAGAAGTACAAATGCAGTTCAGGTTTCATTACACAAGGCTGTAATGAAAAAGATCTGTAGTTTTGGGATATATTGAGAATCTGCTGAGCACTTGGAGTTACTGGTGTGTTCTTCCAAAAAAGACTGACATCAGGTAGTAATGCTGGATTTGATTTCTGAAGTGAAACTCGTTCCCACTCAGGTCAGTAAGTCTTTATCTTATTTACCATACCATACCCAATGAATTTTAATGCAAAATAGAATAATATATCATAATTTCTAAATTTCTCTTACTTCTTTGAAGGTGGCTAACAGATTGCCAGAGAGCTTTTAATTTTGTTTTCCTTTGATACTGATTTTGTCGGGATTTTCTTATTCTTTTTTAAAACTACCTCACAAAGACCTTCTCAGACTTTCCAGGAACGGAAAAGGAATGGTAGGAAAAAAGACCCACAAAGGGATTCAAAAATCTGTGAACCCACAAAGGGATTCAAACATCCGTAAATTAAGGAACTAAAACATTTCATTATTTTGTTTTCGTTCCTTAATTTACGGATTTTTGTCCATATAAATAAAGAGCTGTGACTTCGGGAGTTGT